CAGAACAAACCGTTATACCGTTTTAACAAACTCAATAAGCAAAGAGCGAAAAGCAACCGGTTACGATGACAGTTCGACGGTGAATGCTAGTAAAATTAAATCCTAGCTTTCTGGACATGGCCATTGATACGTTGCCACTTTTTGAACAAGAAGAACTTTGTAATGAATAATCAAAAAAATTAGTAATGAATGTAATGAAAGCAATGAAAAATTAATTTACTGTTATGTTTTTATGTTATTTTATTCTAACGAATTTTGATTTCGTTTTTCATTTTTGTAAACTAAAAAAAAAGTTAAAAAAGTTGAAAATGAACACAATATTGAAAAAAAAAAAATAAGTAATTGCCAAACATTTCCTTAAAGTCGTAGCTAATCAAAAACGGTCGCAACGGCTGACTTCCCCGAATCGGACGCTTCTTGCTTTTTCCGACTTACGCTGCTGCTCGAAAGCAACAGCGACAAAAATCAAAGCCGAATGCATTACCTTTAGCGACTGTGACTGCCGACGACTGTCGAAAATTGTCGATAGCTGTTGCAGCAACTTATGCATACGATCGAAAGCAACAGCAAAGCAGAAAGCAGAAAAACGAATAACGGCGACTTATGCTGATTTTTGATTTTCGTAGCTGTTTGATTTCTGCGCCAGTCAAAGCATGCGAACAGTAGCAGAAGCAAAATCATATGAACTGAAACTTGCCGCAGTTTTTTAAACGCTGACTAGGGCAACACTTAAGCACGGTGGTGGGTCAGTAATGGTTTGAGGATGTATATCGGCTAAGGGAATGGGCAACCTGCATTTAGTGCAAAGTGCTATGAATCGTTTCCAATATGTTGACATTTTAAAGGAAAATTTAAAGCAGTCATGTGTAACATTGGGAARACAATTTATTGAGCACGTATGGCAAGAAGTCAGTCGAAAAGTGTACCAAAGGCAGTATTCCAATATTGCTGGGCTCAAAACGGCTACTTTGGAGGCTTGGAAGGCAATACTACCAGAATTTTATCAAAAACTTCTCGCCTCTGTACCAAGGCGACTAGAACCATTTTTATCTGTAAAACTCTATGCTACGAAATATAAGTAATCATTAGCTTTTTAAAAAATCCGTTTAGTTGTGTAGAACAAATTTTGTATGTTGCGAGTTATTTTTCTAAATTTTATGAATAAATTTATTACTATTTTTAAGTTTCCAAAAATAAAACAGAAGATGTTTCCTTTAATTTGATGTATCATATGTATCATTCTTAAGCTTTTTACTTTGTGATTGGAGGGTGCCATCATTGGCAATGCACGCATCCGGTTAGACGTGTGAGTCAGTGTATAAATAGAATTGACTCTGAAAGCAAATATTAATAAAATGAAAAATGTATTTCTGTAGACACGTAAAATGAGTTGTGAGGCGAGAATTCATTCATCTCTTGGGGAGGAGCAGCAAAAGCAGCACACCCACTTATTTTCACTTACTTACTTAACAATTTATATGTGCTGCTTCTGATGATATTGTTGGTGCTACTATTTCCAGCTCTTTCCTGATTTCCAATACTATAAACATAAATGCAGTAATTATTTGCAAAATATTGTTAAGAAATCTCATAAAATGCATCCACTTACCTTCTTGTTGCACGAAAGYGAATAACAATCTTTCAATCGTTTTTTTTATTACCCTTTCTGAATTTTCTTTTAGCACTATTGAAAATTATGTTTTCTCATTCGCACTCATTCAAATAAATCAAGAAATGAGATAACTTGTTTTCATCGCATCTAGGTTAAAAAGATAGCCGGAACATGTGCGTTGGTGTTAGTGCTTAGAGAAAAAATGTGTAATCGTATTGAAGAATTTGAGAAAAGTGGTTAGCCGTGTCCGGCAGTGAAGAGATTGAGATTTTAAATTAAATTAAAAAGAGATTGGGATGTGTTTCTTATATTTATAGTGTTATGGTTAGATCATATTACTAAATTGTTATAGGATTTAGGATCATTTAAGATTTCGTATATTTTGTTTTCGTTATATTTTAATATTTGTTCAAATGGGAGTTTAATTTGCAAATTTCAGTGCCGATGGTGCTTATGTGTGTCTTTTCTGTATAAGCGTTCTTTCCAAATTGTGTGTAGGCGGCGCGCTCTCCCTTTTGTTGTGCCCTGCTCCATCGTGAATTCTCTTGAGATCGCTCATCAATGGTGGTAAGGGTTTGGCTTTGTGATAAGACATCTAATGCACTTTCGCTGGACAGACTTGGCTTGGCATGAAGAAACCAATATTTCATTTAAGATTATAGAAGAATCCAGAAGGATCAAATAAGAACATTACAATGCTTCGAAGTTCAGTAAAGCAAAATCTGAACCAATAATGCGGCCAGTTCACATAGAACTTTTGCTTCGATTTACGTCAGACAATTCTTTTGATAGAAAATTAATGCTACCATGCATCAAATTGCAAAACCTTTAATGAAATATATTTAAATTTCGCATTTTCTTTGATTTTCATTGTTTTACATTTTTATTAGAGATCATCAACGGCGGCAACAAATTCCTCCGTTCACATATATTTTGGTATAATTTCCATCCGGCCGTTAAAGTCATTCCAAATGTAAAACGTCAAGACCTACCCAATCCAGTCAACTGTTAAAGTTCGGTAGGTGAGCGGCTCTCACATTTCCAGTGACAGGAAAGTTGTTGATCTCTTTATCTCTGACCTGTAGGATTATGTTCACTCGAAAATTCTTTTCGCCGCCCAAACCGGTTTTGTAGGACAGAGGACTATGAGGAAAGTCCTGGTGATAACAATTCACTGCTCCGCAATTTAACATTATTTTTCATTTTGAAATTATTTTAATGATTGCAAAATCGCACGGTTTCGAGTGAATAAAGTGATCAGAAATTTTAATTTTTTAATCTATCTTGTAATGTAATCAACAAATATCTATGTAAATATCCATAATATAGTAGAGTTCTAAAAGCGTATAAAAATTAGTAAATGCGATATAAAAAAAAATGCGGACCTCAAGTCGACAATCTGTGCTAGTGTGAACACAACAAAAGCTAAACCAAAAGATAATTTAGAGATAGTAAGCGACAAGAAGACTCGTCATCTGAACGCAGTCTATATCGGGAAGAAATAAGTTTTGATATTTTTAATGTATTTCTTGGGTATTTATTGGTTTCCATTCGACGGCTAAAGTATACATAAATAACATTAGTTTTAAAATATCTTATATTAATCCCTTTCATATATTTACTTGCATATACATATACATATATTTCAAAACAATTACATGTTTTAACCAACTTAAATCTTACTGCTTTCCCTGGGCTAGTTATGAACATAAAATCTAATTTCATTTAAATAAAAGTAAAACTTTCTTAAAAACTTGTGTCACGAATAACGCCCTCTTTTTGATATTTACTTCTGCGGGATTTTAATTTGCGGTTAGTTTAGTTATCATCTTTTCAGCCCCATGAAGTCGCAGTGCTGCCAAGTTCAGCCACAATATCATGGGCTCGCTTAACGAGCAAAATATATTTAGGAGATTTTATCCATGTTGTGTGGAGTTGTTCTGTATGGTTTCCGTTTACATCACTGTAAAAAGAACTGAGGTGAACATCTTATCTTAAAGTAATAAAAAGGAGTATGTGTAGTTAGTTTCTTTACATATGGTAACTCTTTCCTTGCGGTTAAAAAATGCTCATTATAACTAACAAAATTTTTGGTTTGGTGAAAGTGGATTTCAAGTTGAGTCGTTAATAAGTTTACAATGAAAAATAAAATAAACTGAATATTAGGTGTTGATAGCAAATAATATTGGTAAGCCACTACAAAAGAAGAACTTCTATAATTCTTATTTTACGAAAATCATAAAACAATCCAGTGAAGTTAAATTTCTCAGAAATAATTTGTAGTTTATTTCATCCATCATTTGTATTGCCCCTTTGAAGATTAATTTCGTTTAACTTAAATTAGCTTAATTAAAAGTCAAATAAGGATTGAAAACTAAAGTGTACACAATTAAAAATTTTATGTATATTAATAAATATATCAAAAAACGACCGCAGAACACAAGTTAGTACGTTGAGAAGTTACGTTAACCCCTATTTAATTTTATACTTATTAGGGAGACTCATTTCGAAACTTAGTACTGGTATGCTTATAAACAAGTTTAAGCGTAATTTAACTTGACTCATACATATGTATGTATATGTATATGAGTGTTTAAGTATTCAAAAGTGTGTATGAATGTTCTTTTTTCACAAATATATACTTACAAATGTCAGATAGGTGCCCGTTGAAAATTATTTACCATTTTTGTTGCAAGGTAATATTAAGTATGAATAAATCAACTTTTTATTCATGGAATTTTCACGCCTTTAAACAGCAACTGTGATGAACGAAAGCTATACTTATACTAGCCGTAGTTGCCAAATTATGCTTTAAATACAAACTCATACCGGTTTTGCCTTCGAATTGGGCTTAAGGCTCCTGAATTTTTATTATTTAGCGGTAATATTGCAAACTAATATTGAGAAAAAAAAGTAAAAATATTTTTGTAGTTAACGGAGCTGAATGTGAATTTATGTACTTATGTATTTATATATGAAGATATAGGAATGTAATTAATAATATTTTAATTACCGTTAACACAGTACCATAATAGTGTTTGTTTTACAGTTCAAAATTTTACTTTCCATTTGGCACAAAAAAATGTAAAATTTGTTTACGGCATTGTAATTTTTTTACCTCAATTCAACCCAGAGAAAAATGATATCGTTTGGCATACAGCCTAAGATAAGTAGAAGGTGATAAGTGGTGTTCTTTCTAAATAATACATATTAATTACAGACTTAGAGGTTGTAAGGTTTTTTATATAAAGTATAAAAATGTCAAAACTAATACATCATATTTTTCAATGTTCAACATGCTTTACATACAATTTTCACTTAATATGTACTATAATGTAATTGCATATTGAAATACATTAATGTTTTACCTTTATTGTGAGTTTTTAAAGAAAATGGTATATTTCAAAAGTTGGCACACTCTCAGATCAGAAAATCGTAGATATTCTCAAAGAAAACGTGAATGAATTTTTGGTTTATTTTGAGGGTGAGAACTCGAAAGTCTAAAATGTCTTTTCAGTACTCTAGTCGTTCTTTTAATCATATTCCGTGCAGAATAGTTCTTACTGTGGAATCGCCGTAATATCTTTTAAACGGTTGGGTTTACGAAAAAATCGTATAAGACCTTTTTTGTAGAGCATTCAATTTTCTACAAAATCTAAGAAACAAAATATTTTTTATTTTTTTAATATTTCCCGTTACAATTAAGAACTCATTCTTGGAGAGGCTTCCTTTGGGGGTGTCTAAGAGCCTATTTTACAGATTATCAAACGAAAGAAATTTTTTTTTGTGAATCACCCCCATGTGTTATATATACGTAATATATTAACAAAATTAAATACATTACCATTGTGATAAATGTACATAAATCATATATTTTATCATTCAAAACTTATATTCACATGTATCATGACCATATGTGTTTATGTTCGCTATCGCGAATTCAAATCATATTATCACTTATGATGCATACCCAAACTTGCATGCAAGCAAGCAAACAAATGGGTCTGACAGTACACGAGGGCAAGTCGAAATATCTCATGTCATCAAACAAACAGTCGTCGCATTCGCGACTAAGCTCTCACGTCGCTGTTGATAGTCATAACTTTGAAGTCGTAGATAATTTCGTCTATCTTGGAACCAGCATAAACACCACCAACTATGTCAGCCTGGAAATCCAACGCAGGATAACTCTTGCCAACAGGAGCTATTTCGGACTGATTAGGCAATTGAGAAGCAAAGTCCTCTCTGGACGAACAAAAACCAAACTCTATAAGTCACTCATAATTCCCGTCCTGCTATATGGTGCAGAGGCTTGGACGATGACAACAACTGATGAGTCGACGNTAAGTCACTCATAATTCCCGTCCTGCTATATGGTGCAGAGGCTTGGACGATGACAACAACTGATGAGTCGACGTTGCGAGTTTTCGAGAGAAAAGATCTGCGAAGGATTTATAGTCCTTTGCGCGTTGGCCACGGCGAATATCGCTTCGCAGCTGTAGGGGAACCTGGGGTACCTTTGACACCTTTTTTTTTGAAATAAAATTTCTCGAAATGTGTTTGAATTATAATAAAATAAGTTGTTACCTGCTTTAGAGCAATTATTCAGTTTATAATATTGCCGGAGTTTTTTTTTTCAGCGACTTCCTTTTACACTTTAATTTACAGTTTTTAAAAAAAAGCCCCTGTTACAGGGTACATTTGACTTTAGGAGGGGAGCATTTGACACCTACATGCATACCAATTTACAACAATTTTGTGTTGTCTTTGAATTAAAATAAATCAGCATTTTGTATATAAACTCATTTTATTTTAATTTTGGAAAGCAAAAAATATTTCAGTTACAAGTTTTGAATTAAAAGAAAAGAAAAATTTAAAGGAAATGAATTATAAGTTTTGATAAAAAATTATTTTATATAATATTTTGATAAGTCCAGTTTAAAAATGTATTTTGTATGACACCGTGAAGTTGAAGCAGGATTTTCAGGAACTGGCAACTTCAGTTCTGCGCATAATTATAACCAAATCTTCAATTTGTGGATTAACAAAAGCCAAACTTTAAGGAGATGTCTTTCGGAAAGACTTGATGTTGTAAGTGCAGTTGCCAAACGTTTCTATTATTTGACGTTTCTTGGAATTTTACGAGAACATAGTCTCCCACAGTCAAATTATCATCATCAGTTATTTTGTGTGTCTCTAAATCATCTGCTCGGTATTAAAGGTAACCTTCATCATCAGGAGGGAATCCATTAGAGTCAATTGTATCAGCGTAGCTAATGTTACCCGTACTTTCGTCTGATTCGATTTTCAGTTGGGGTTTTCTTTTTGGTTTCTTCTTTTTAGCTTGCTGTGTTCTCTTCTGTGAAAACTTGAGAGTGCGCTTGGCGGTTTTAAAATTTTTCTTTATAGTAGTAAGCTGCTCAATCCTTCTTTTTTCAGTTGAAGAAGTAAGGATTCCGGAAGTTCCACTCTGATTCTGGCGTAGTACATGGTGAGTTATGATTTAGGTTGCTTTGTAGATTTTTTGTATCATTTTGTGATGAATTCATATCATCTGATCTATCAGGATGAACGCGTTGCACTTCCTCATCTGTTACAGACTCCAGCGTAAATGTTTCATCTTGAAAAACCTGGGTATTGAGAGGACAAATTCCTGTTGTTTTGAATCCGTTCATTATTTTTTCTGGGGAAATGCTCTTTAAAATGGTTGTTGAGTTAAGGTGCCGATATCATATATACTGATTTGTTTTCCAGGATTTGTGGTTAAAAAATCGATAAAGGCTTTGCGGCAAAATTGCTTAAAGGGTCCGAAAACTGATACATCCAATGGTTGTAGACGATGGGATGTATGTGGAGGAAAAGAAAGTAATATAATTCCAACCTCGGCGCAATAGTTAATGCTTTCCAAACTGCAATGTGACGCATGATTATCAAACGGAATTAGAATTGGGTTTTCAACTGAACAGTTCGTAAAGTTTTTAATGTGTTTCAGCATATTTGCAAAGAGTTCGGAAATCATCCATCCGGATTTTGTATTTAATATCAACGAAACGGGCATATATCTACTTCCGAATCTTTCACTGAAACGTACACGAGGAAATATATAAGCCGAAGGCAAACGATTTCCGCAAGCGTTAACTATGCCAACGATTGTAACCAAGCTGCCGCGCTCAGTGGAAGATGCTTGAGAAACAGAACGTTGCCCTTTTACAGGACAAATCTAGAGAAGAAATAGGTATGTTTTTTAAAGTCATTAACCTGTATTTCCAACCAGGCTAAAAAAACGACTAAATGTATAAGATTATCTTACCTTAATAGACACCATCACGGTAGTTAAACCAGTTTCGTCCAAATTATAGATATCTTTTGGCTGAAATAAGTACTTTTCAAACAACGTAGTAAGGTTTTTGAAAAAACTTTCCACTGCTGATTTAGTAAAACCGCGTAATCTTGCCAAACTGATCTTTTCAGGTTTACGAAGAGATATAGAATAATTTCTTTTAAGAAATCCGTAAAGCCAATCGTCTCCAGCTTCTTTGGATTTTTCCCAGGCAGTTGGAGTAACCAAAATTTTAGCTTTAGCGTAATCATATGCAAACTTTTTTAAAGTTTGATAAGTTAAGCCGTAAGAATAAAAAGCAAATTTCTTGACGTAATCACAAATATCGGTTTCTTGTTGCTTATTAAATGTGTGGCGAGATGTGAATTTCGATTGATTCAGATTCAGATTCAGATTCATATTTATTTTAAGCATATAAATRTACAGAAAATAGCAAAATTAGCAGCACTAGCTCGAGGCCATCAGCTGGTCTTTACAATTTAATATGATAGTAATAACTGGATGTTATGTCTAAATAACAGATATACATAAATATTATTATTAATATATAAATTGTACAGTTTATATTAAATTAAATGTGCTATGTTACATGTTATAAGAAAGTTAGATATAGTACTTATTGTCGACGATGTTATATTAGTTAGCAGTTTAGATGGGAGAGCTGTGCCAAACATCCTTCGCCTTTTATTCGTAAATTGGGGGCATTATTTAACAAGTAATCGTGCGTAATCTGCGTATGACCTAGGCGAAGCCTTGTGAATGACAAAATGTCTGAATGTTTGGAGTTCGTGGGGTATATAGGCTTTGCTCTGGTAGGATTAATTGCCGCACAATGATGAACGTATTCA